GCCGCGTGCCCCCACGTGGGCTTGCTCATCAGCCAGGCCTTGAACGCTCCGACGTCCGAAAGAAGGGTGAGAGGCTCGTCGATGTCGGCACAGCCCTTCAGCCTGATCATGAGTGAACACCCAAACGTTTTGTAAGCGTGCGGGCCAGCACGCACGAGCCGTGATGTCTTGAGAGCTAGAGAGGGCGTTGCTTCTTGTCGAAGCGAGACACAACCCCTATTTACTCATCAACGCGAGCACCGTCGGCCTACAGGACGAGGTTTCATGTGGTGGTTGTTTCCGTCTGGTCTCGGGGGCGGGTCTTTTCGCCCGGCGAAATACACCCCATGACGCAATCCTCTATTCCGACACCTCGCGACCTGTAAAGCTGTTTGATGGCACATGTAGACCTGCATCCTGGCTGTTTCTCTCTGGCGTCTGTCTCTTAGTGTGGTGCACGGATATCCTGTCTCGAGCCCCAGCTTTAACGGCGTGCTGTACTAGGGGCTCTTGTCTCGGAGCAGGATGACAGGACTACTTGCCATTTACACTCCGCACAACGAACCACACGTGCAGTAGGAATCATAGCAAATGAACAATGACTTGTACGTCAAAAAAAGTAGCTCACCCTTTGAGAGAAGAAGCCCACATCTCGACGTTGCCCCACCCCCCCGCCTCGACGATAGCTTCCTCGACGCCCTCCAACTCCAGCAAAGACAGCACAAACTTCCTTGCACGAACAGCTTTAGTTTCGAGGTGGGCAACAACCAACGGGGCGGGAGCCTTTGTGGTCAGTGCGCGCGCCCCCATTTTTGGTTCGGTTCGGAAAAGTGGCAAATCCCGCCGCACCTCGCCGGTTCAGCCCCGTTGGCCCATCGGTGGCCACACCCAACCGTGCACCGTGGACACAACGGAGTCAAAAGTACCAGCGAGGTTTTGCCGTCTTTTGAAACCATTATGTGCTGCCTGGTTTTCCACACGAGCGAGCATTTGGCTTCATGGTACGTACGCGGGACAATCGGACGGGCGGCCCGCGCGAAAAAGTAGTGCCGGATGGCAAAACACATGAACGAGAAAAAGAACGGAAACATGTTCCTGTCGAGAGCCTCTCCGACAAGAAATATCCATGGATAGGTGTTCTTTGACCGGCAGGAACCACTGATCGTTCAGGGTGAGCGCTTCGAACCCAACCCTTCAAGGATTGATTTTATTGTCACGGGCGGGTAGGGAAATCTTTAACCACTCTGACGTTGCACGTTTCTTTAAAGGTGGGAAACACAGCATGCCGCGTGTCGTGTTCCCTAGCGTCGTCCCTGCCCGATATCGTCTACCGCCTGCCCCTCCCCCCCCCCCCCCCCTCAGGGAACCCGGAAAAGGGGCCCCCCCCCCCAAGAGGGGGGGGGGTCTACCTCCCCGGGCAGGGCTGGTGCCCGAATCCCCTCTCTCCACATGGGAAAACCCTTCCGAGGAACTTATTCTTGGTTATAACAAAATAAAATAAAATAAATTAATCCTGGTTATAATTTAATAAAATATAATAAGAATTTGGGGGGGGGATAGGGTTTAGGAAACCAAAACCCCCCCTTTTAATTTCCCA